CTGAGGCAGGGGGCAGGAACAGGGTTGGGGGGCGGGGTGCCAGTGGGGTCAGGGAGTCCCCTACACCAGCCTTGGAGAGAGGCCTCTGTTGCGCGCTCCCTTTGGGGCCGACCCGCTGCTCCCGCAGAGGAAGGAAGCCCCATCACGCGCTTCTGCCGGACCTGACTCCCCCCTCCCGCGGAGCAGGGAAGCCCGCGTACGCGACCCCTTGGGGTCAACCTCCCTCCCACCCGTGGAGCGGGGAAGCCCACACAAGTGCTACCTCCGGGCCCGACTCCCCCTCCCACAGAGAAGGGAAAGCGTCTGGGGACTTACCCGGTAAGTTCCCGGAACATCAGGGAGCTGGGGCAAGGAAACAGCCAGCGCATTTCCAGAACTCCCAGAAGCGATGCGCAGCTTGTAGGACTTCCATCCACGCCACGGGAAGCTGCCACTACCCTCCATTGTTGCTTGAGGTAGGTAGTGGGGCTTCTTGGGGGTGGGGGGAAATCGAGGGCCTGGAACGCCTCGCGATCGACTGGTTGGTGATCATGGATTTAGTTAATGAAGTAGAAAGGAAGAACCCCCTTTTTCTACACTGTGACAGAAGGCAATTTTGTTCTGTCTACACTAGAAGTTAAACTATATTTAACATTTGCTGAAGAGGGATGGTTATGGCCCATCAAGTGGGTGGATCCAGCCACAGAGGCCCTGCTGCTCCCCCGCCCCCAGGCCAATTAGGGCCTGAGGGCAAGGGAGTGCACAAAGCTTCCCCCACCCTGCCAGGAGCACATGGAGCTTTGAAGTGCCAGGCGCTGCTCGCAAGTTGAGGGGGAGAACAGAGGAGGCTTCACGTGCTCCTTTGCACCCAGGCCAATCAGGGCCTGGGGAGCTGCATGAAGCTTCCTTTGCCCTGCCCTGAGAGGAGCCCGTGGCACTTCAAAGTGTCATGTGCTCCTGGCAGGGCAGGAGGCGGGGTCCCCCTCCCCCCGCCCCCAAGTCCTGACTAGCCTGGGGGTGGGGAAGCATGCCAAGCCTCTTCCAGGGCATGGGTGCCTAGTGGAAAGGGGGGGCAAAAGGGCTCCCCCACCTCCAGACCAATGATGGTCTGGGGGTGCGGTAGCCCTGCCCCTTCCTGTTTAGGTCCCGCCCCTTCTGGTGTGGCCTGGGGCTACTTTAAAAATTTTTGAAGTAGCCCCCGGACAAAAATTATTGCCCACTCCTGCTGTAGAGGCTCCTATACTAAGCTTCAGAGGTCCCAGGTTCACATACACAAGGTCTCTCAATGACATGTACAGGAGTCAGATACTCCTGAGGACAGAATTGGACCTAAAGCCTGATCCCACACTTCTTACAAAATCTAGTTACCCATTTAATGGCAGCATGAGTTGCATAAACTGTTTTGAGGTTTAATCTGTATTAGACTTAATTTTGATTTTCTGCCTGTGTCTAAATTGGACTGGTATCAGGTCAAAATTCCAGCCCTTTGTTTATATGAAGTAACTTTATACTATTTAAAAAAATATCATCTTGGCATTTGTTTCAGCATTCAACAAAGCTTTCCAGTTATAACTAATTGCTTTTAACAAATTATAATAAAACGATTAAAAAGAAATCCAAAGTGATTTTTTCTAAAAAACTTAAAGGGTACATAACATTTTTAAAAAACAGGCTATAACCCCATCACCCACCCAAAAAAAAACCCCTCTCAAATTCAAGAAACATTTTAACCCCCCCCCCCGCAAAACGTTAAATAATCTTACTCAGAATTGTGACCATATGTAGTTCTCTAAATGTACAACATATCAAGTATGTACTAAATCCAGGATGGCATCTCTTTAGTTTACTGTGTATCTATCTAAATTACATTTACTTAATATTGCAAGGATGAAACTTTCTTGCACTCAGATTAAGAACAGCTGTCCAGACCTTGTTAAACTTTAACATATGGATCACTGGCTCAGAGTCTATTTGTCAAATCCATTGCACAGTGAAGGTAAAATTCCGTAAAATTTGTGATTATGAAGCTCTGAACAACTTTTATTATAGGCCATATATTACATTAAAAATATATATTTCATTTGAAAACATGGCTCCCCTAGGGGCAGATGAAAATATAACTATGGGGCCAAATTCTGCCAAGTGTGTGTGTGTGGGGGGGGGAGGGTAGGGAATGTTAAATATTGGTTAACTGAATAACTGATTAACCTAATGAATTGTTATTAGTTACTCAACTAATCAATTGTCCCCATGGATGGGGCTAGCAGCCAGTGCACTCTGCAGCCACTCCCGAGGCACCCCCCGCCCCGCTGCTGCCTCTGAATCAGAGGCAGCAGCATGGGGTGCCAAGCGGGAGCTGGTCCGTGAGGGGAACCAGTTTAAAAAACCTGCACTGACTGGCTGTCTGTCACCCTACCCTGAGCTGATACAGAGCCAGCAGTGCGGGGTGGCAGCAGCCCCTGACCAAGGAAGGGTAGGGTGAGCTCCCGGGCCCAGCACAAGCTAGAACTGAGCCGGGCTGCCTGTCCGCCTGGCTCCTAATACACTTTAAATGCAGAGCTGCAGCAGGGGTAGGTCCTGGACCCGGCAAAAGCCAGGACTGGGCATAGCTGCTGGCCAGCCTGCTAAAGAATTTACTGGCCTGGGGGAGGGAATGTGTGTAGTCTATAGCATTAACCTATAAGCTTTTGCTTATTGGTTAATAGGTTAATCAACTATACTACTACATCCCTAGTGTGTAGCTCCTTTTACTAAAAGAGGAACAGCATATGGACATTGTTACACATAAGAGTCCAATATGGAGACTCAACAAGGAGTCTGGTGACACCTTAAAGACTAACAAATCTCACTTTGTCAGATATGAAACTCATGAAAGCTTATGCCCATACATTTTTTAGTCTTTAAGAAGCCACTGAAATCCTTGTTGTTTTTGCTGAAACAGAGTAACCGGGTTACCTCTCTGAAACTATGTGGAGAATGGGTCAGCTTTGTTTTTGCTTGTAAGCATGCAAGTGAGCACTGGTGTCCAGTACACAGGTATCAGACAGGCATCTTGACCTCTACCAAAGATGGCCTGGGTGTTCTTCTGTCTGCAGTAAGCTGTCCCCACCCTTAGTGGCCATATGCCATTTGCCTAGTGAAGCCAGACTACTTACTGGACTAGCACAGCCAAATAAATCATCAAATTGTTTTGGATGAAAGCTCCCTTGATTGAGCAGAAGCTACATTATAAAGTTCAATAGCTACTATTTTAACAAGATGAAGGGATTCCAATTGCTAAATGCAATTAGACTAGATTAGAGACAATTAATTTGCTAAACTGTCTACGCTCAATTTCAATTTTTGAAAAAACACAGTCATATAGGACCCAACCGTGCTCTGCTAAATCAGGGTAATCCCAAAGGGCATTTTCTGCTTCCCTTACTCACACTGAGCAGTAACTGATGCTTTAGTCTTGCAAGGGGCCAGGCAGTATGGCCTTATCCAGCAAAGCATTTATACACAGGCTAAACTTTAAGCACATGAGAATCCCATTGCCTTTAACAGATTTCACCTTCAAGTCATAAAGACTATGGCTGTGCTTAAGTTATTTGCAAGATCAAGCCCTGCCTCTAGAAGTTGTTCCACCAATATCAATGGGGCTAATGGTGAAGTTGGATTCTATTCAAAATGATTAAGGGAAGCAAAAGTAGACCCAGAACATCTTTTAAAATAGCCAAATGAAGCGCTCTAAAATTTGAAGTTGAAAGTCATACCCAATTAACAGATGTTATGAGACAGTTTGGTATGCTCTCTCTTCAACTCCTATATTTACAAATGTGACACACTCTTCACATGTTAATGTGTTTTTGCCAACAAAATAATTGGTTTCAAATATATTAACAGAACAGTTTTATTGCAGTTGAGAGGGGTCACCGATGGCAAGACAGCAGCAGCTTGATTTCTCTTCACTGCCCATTAACCACTGTTTTTGTAACAGCTAATCGTCAAGTAAACTTTTTATATGAATCATTTAGGGCGTTTTTATTTTTATGAAAGAGCATAGCAGCCAATGCCTATTTCAATAAACAGGTTCTAGCATGGATAACAGAGTAAATATACCAAGCAGAAATCTGCGGATTTTGTCATAGACCAAGTCTTCCATGCTGTTTTTCACTAGCACCACATTCTATTGGCCTTCAAAACTATAACCATCATGATAAAGTGATCTCATGACTATGGTCTAGACTGCAGTAGCTGAAAACTTATCAAGGAAGGGAGTCTGGCAAGCATGTGAATCCAGGACAATAGAGATTTTACACTTCCATTCCTCAACATCCACCCGTCAGTTAGATTATTACATAGAATACCAATGCCAGTTAAAATGTAATCCAAAGACAAATGTGAAACATCAAGAGTGGGCATGTTTTTAAAAAAGAGTATCATCTCACCCTTTATTCCATTTTGTGTACACTCAATTTCACAACTTTGGAAAGCACTTCTTCCATGGCTAGCAAAATATTGATGATTCGCATTGGCTTTTTATCACAGTGATCCATTAGGGAAGCAATTATGTGCTGAACAACAAGGATATTCATCAGGAGATGTTCTTGTTGAATCTTCAAAGAATTTTTCTAGAGTTCTGACTCCTGTTTAAAAGAGGAAGGTGGAATAAAATCAACTAACAGTTGAGTTTTTCATTCTTCTTTATGTGCAAGGTCACTTATTACAAGTTGAACTCATATTTGTTCATACAAATATAACAGCGTGAGAAATATACCTTCCGAATGTAGAGAACAGTGCAATTGCAGCTGAAGTCTTCTATACCATATTCAGTATTTAAACATTCCCATGAAACATCTAAGGGACACCATCAACTGGAAGATCACACTTCTGTCTCAAAAAGTTACCTACTTTTATTACAAGCAACATTCAAGATCACTAAGAACCTAGCAACAACACAACATTTCTGTTCAGTTACAGTGTGTGTTTGCTAGCACATATGGTTAGTTAAAAAGTTTAGCTGACATCCAGCCAGTCCTGCCAATGGGGGAGAAGCGAGGGGCCAAAGAGGGCAGCTGATTTAACAGAGCACAGCAGCAATGGCAGTGACTGGAGCCCTGGGCCCTTCAAATTGCCACTAGAACCACAGGAAGCACTGAAGGACTGGATGGGGGAAGCTTGCCTCCAGCCCTGCCCCCTTCTGCCTGAGGCTCTGCCCTTTCTGGGGGCTCAGAGCCAGCTCCCCCTTGTCCAGGGACCAGCAAAGTCTGTCATCTGCCGTGCAGCCAGCTGCACTTCTTGCCTCACTTTTTAAAACTAGATCATTCACAATCTCTTCACATAGGTGCACACTCTTCTCCAGTCCCAGGCTATTTTCTGATAACAGAGCAGCAGAGAAGCTGGTCCTTCTGAATTTGGGACCAGGAGGGAGTTTTTCCTGGGACTCTGGCTTGAACGTAGGGATTAAAAAAAAAACCCAAGAGGTAACTGTCAGAAGACTCTACTTCTGCACTTCCCACCCCGGGCACAGAGCACAGATTTCAGGAATAAAAAGTCTCTAGAAGGAGGGTTTGGCCATGACATACCACATGCAGAAAGAACACAATACTTTCAAAAGATCAGTGTGGGGAGGGGAACCTCATCCAGCTGTTTGGCCTATTGCACAAAGGATCCTCACACAGAGTGAAAATGATGTAGTTCAGGGTCACGACAGGCATAGCAGTATTATGTCAGAAGCCATGTTGCCAACTCAGAGAAGTTAACTGCATCGAACACTTACCATGCATTTTTCACTATGTATATACCTCTAAGTTTTAACTGACCCACAAGGAATTGCTACAATCAAGTGTCTTCAATTTTCAGAAGCAGTTATATGATTTTTTTAAACATTGGCCAATTCTGGCCAATTTTAACTGTTTCCCCAGACTACTATTTTCAAAGCAAGACACAGATGTTTTTGCATCATTAGCTGCACTTGTGTCAATGACTAAGGGCCAAGTTATGCTGATACACCAGTGGAAATCCTAAAGAGCCCCTCTGAAGTCAATGGAGCCACTTTGGATTTACATGGGCGTAACAGCAGAATTTTGCTCTTATTGTAAAATTGAGAGAAGCTAATTTTTTATATAAAATAAAGTTATAATTAAGACAAAAGATTTTATTTGGTTCAAGATGCTTTTTTTTACTTTTATTTCACATAGCTCAGAGGTGTAAGGTTGGCACGGAAAGATAGAAAGGAACATCAGCATGAACATGTGACCTTTCAACTTCTCTCATAGCAAATTCAAGCTGAAGATGCAAGACTCATCATAAAGGTCTGTAAATGCTATATTCACCTTTGATGACAATCTAGGTTTCAGCCCTAGAAAGGAGAAGACAGTGTTACTTTCCTTTGCTTCAAAAAAGCAATCATAATCCTAGAGAAAAGAGAAGATAAAAGATTAATCAACAGTTCAAAAGCTTTCTTCCACTTAATTTTTTATATTCTATGCTATCACAGTTCTGGTGGCTATGTAATTATGCTGGTGGAAACAACCCAATATTTGTTTGTGTTGTGCTGTATAAACCTGGCAATTATTCTAACGTAATAAGAATTCTAGACCCAGTGAAAGAGTTCAAGGTCTCATTTAGGTTCGCTGTCATTTTCTGTTTTCTTCAGACATCAAGAAAAGTCTCCAAAACCTCAATGGTCAGATGAATGGTCCATCCAGCACAACAACCTGTCTCTTACCTGCACTGTCGAGCTACTTCAGCTACACAAAAGCTGGCTACTCTTCCCCTCTTGAAGGAATACTAGTGTTAACAGGACCACTCAGAGATCAATTCATCACATCTACAACAGACATGATAAAAATCGATGGCCGAGGGATTGATCATTGCAGCATCAATCCACTGCACAGTGGAGACAGGACCTCTGATAATTTCTTCTGAAGTGTCTGGTACTAACAGAACAGGGCAATTTGGAGAGTAACCCATGTACCAGACACTTCAGAAGAAATTAACAGAACAGGGCAATTTGGAGAGTAACCCATTCCCTGTAGTCCAGTCCCAGCTTCTGGCAGCTAGAGATCGAGGGAGATCTGGAGCAGGGGTTTGCATCTAGTTCTTTTGTGAACCCATTTATACTTTTGGACTTTACAATATCCCCTGTTAGTGAGGTCCAAAGGTTGACTCTATGTTGTATGAAGTACTTCCTTATGTTTGCTTGCTTTAAAAAAAAAAAAAAAGTATTAATTTGCATATACAAGAAATGTCTGAAAGGTTCTTGAGGCCAGATTTTTAAAGATATATAAGCACCTACAGACGCAGATGCATCTTGAAAATAGGCTCTTGCTGAGTTTCATAATTATCAGCTCAACTCTTTGAACAATTTGTTTCTCATGGAACAGATACCTAAACACTTTACCCTTTGAAACCAGCAATCATCAGCCAGTAATTTGGAAGGAATGAAATTACTGTACCCTTTTAAAAAATTAAGCGATAACAAGTTTTCACATTTGGCCAGTGACCAGCTTTCTATTATAGTGCAGGGCTACTCCTTAGGTGATTAAGGATTTCCATACGTGCAAGTTAGATACTACCGAAGAACCACTCATCAGCTGTCATGTGGTGCCTTTGATCATTTTTGCGTTAATCTCTACAGAGACAATAGAACAAAGAGATCCGAAAAAGAGCAATAAGTAGGGTTGCCAACAGTCCCTTATTATTTAATTTCTGTACAAGATAGAGTTGCTGAGTGCTGCAAAAAGCAGGAGGAAATACCCCACCTGATGCGGCCTCAGTCAGGAAAGGGGGGTTAAGGTTAGGTCAGGGGAGAGAAAGGGCCCAAACTGGCGCGGCCGGGGGGAGGAGAAAGAAAGGGCCTGGGCTGGTACAGCGAGAAGTAGGGTTGGGGGAGGGAGAAGGGGCCTATGCTGGTGGCGCCGCAGCCCAGCCCTCCCAGGTGGTGGAGGAGAGGAGTGTGTGGAGCCTGATGAGGCCTCAGAGCAACCCTCCTCTTGGTGGGTAGCATGGCTCTGGCAGCCGTGGGTGGGAAGACAAGATGCCAGGGCTGGTGCCACTGCCAGCCCTCC